TTTTAGTAACTTTATTTGACAGATGAGAGGACTGAGGCCAGAAAGACTGTGATACTCCTAAGATTCATTAAGAAATAAATATGTATTGAGCTCATCCTGTGTGCCAGGCATTGTTCTGGACCCTGAGAACACATCAGTGCATAAAACTGAAGACCCTGCCCTGAAGACCTTCCCTGTCAGAGATTTATGGTTGAGGTGGGAAGAAAGGCACTATATAAATTTACAAATAAGTACATTTTCACATCAAAGACAATAAATATCATGAAAAGAATACATCAGGGTAGTGTGGCAGTGAGTGACTAGGGGGTGTTACTTTGGAACAGAGTGATCATTTTCTGAGGAAGTGATTTTTGAACTGAGACCTGAATGACAAGAGGAACCAGCCATGTGAGGATGCGGGAGACAAGTGTTCCAACCCAAAGAACAGGAAGTGCAAAAGCTCTGAGATGGAAACAGACTCAAAGTGTTGCAGAAAGTAGGCTAGTGTGATCTCCAAAATGGGGTGCCCTGCCCTATGGGTACCAAAGACCATAGCTATGAGTGGTGGACGAAACTCTTAGGATTTCTTTTTAAATTTATTTTTATCTTATACTTTTAAATTATTGTTCTTTTAAATATGTTTTATAATACACATCAATAACGCTAATACGGTGTTGTTGTTGTTGTTATGTGCCGTCGAGTCTGACCCGACTCATAGCGACCCCTCCTTGGGTTTCCAAGGCAGTATCACTGCGGAAGTAGATTGCCCCATCTTCCTTCCAAGGAGTGGCTGGTGGGTTTGAACCGCCAATCTTCTGGTTAGCAGTCAAATACCTTAGGCACTAGGTTACCAGAGCTCCTATACGGTGGTCTATAAGTATAAATAATTATTTATAAATCTATACATACATGTAATGGGAGTGTACATTTAAAAATTATTACTGTATATTTTTGTAGACCACTCAGTCAGGACAAAGAAGAGAGGGAATGCATATGAAAGCTCCTTATAGTTATGCTAAGAACAGCTGGTTCTCAGTACAGTGGAAAAGCATTGGAAGATTTGAAAAAAAAGGGACCAGGTTTGCTGTTGTGATAGAGCCTGGTGAAACCACTGAGACTATGGCCCCTAGCTGCCCTTCAGGTCTGGAACTGAACCCACTCCTGTGGCTTCTAGCCAAACAAAAGATAGGTAGATACACTCCTTGGAGAGAACAATCATGGGAGAATGGAAGGGCTGTGTAAGCACAGGGAGGCACATCAGGGGACAGGAGTACATGGGATGGAAGGACACAAGGAAGAGGTAACTATGGGGAGAAAGTGAGAGGGGAGCTGTTGCATTGTGGTAAATTATAGTCAGTGTCATGAGACAAAGTATATGTGAGCTGCTGTATGGAAAATGAATTTGCTCTGTAAACTTTCAACCAAATCACAATTTTTTTTTAAACAAAAGCATTGGAAGAATTTAAACAGGGGAGTGAAGGAGCTCTGGTGGCCTAGTGCCTAGGGCATTTGACTGCTAACCAGAAAGCTGGCAGTTCAAACCCACCAGCCACTCCTCAGAAGGACAATTGAGCAATCAGCTCCCGTAGAGGTAGAGATACTGCCTTTGAAACCGGAGGAGGGGTTGCTAAGAGTCAAATTGATTTGACGGCAGTGCGTTTTGTTTTGTTTTTTGGTGTGATCTGAGCATTTTAGATATTAAGGGGAGAAGGGACTGAAAGGCAGCAAGGCTAGAAGCAGGGAAAGCACTTAAGGAGCTAAATGGAAATCCTGGTGGAAAATCATGACCGTCTGTGCTAGGGTGTTAGCAGTGGAAAGAAAGAAAGTAGCTAGATTCAGGATATCCTTTGGAGGTAGAGTTACAGGGGTCACTTAGTCTGGTTGTGAGAAGAAGAGCATCAAAAAAAGGAGGGAATAAAAAATAACTACTCCAGATGTTTGGCTTAAGCAAAAGTGGTGCCATTTACTGATAAGGAGAAGATGGGAGGAGGAACCAGCTTGGAGATGAGGAGCTTATTACATCAAGAGCTCTGTTATGAATTGTGAAGTTAGCGGTAATGGGTAGGCTTCAGGAGAGGTGCTCATCTAAGTCTCCTGACTCTGCAGTTTATGTTCTTCCCATTTCCCAATTGCTTCCAGAATAATTTAATTTTGTTTGAAATGAAATTATTCATTTTGTTTGCTTTTTTTTTTCTTTAAGTGAATAAATAAATAACAAAGTCATAACTGATCTAGAATCTTTGAACAGCTGTTGAAAGTAAATTAAATGCAAATATTTTTAAGCGCCTTTGAGCAGCTGGAAACTTTACTGAAAAGTTTCAGGATCCCAGGATATGATTAATTGTGGTCCTGCTGAATGACTGTTAGGCTTATCCTTCCTGGAACCACCCAGAATCACAGACTGTCTCCGTTTTCTATGAGGCCTGTTGTCAGTGGATGTATGACCCTCCACCCAGAGAGGTCATGTTCTGCAAAGAGAAATAATGCCATCATGTTGCTTTCTTAAAATAAGAGAGACCAATAAAAAAGTAATTTCTTGGTCTCACTTTGTCTGTGTTATCCTGGAACCTCATCAGACCTTCCTAAGACACAGAAAATTGGCAAGATCACCAAAGACTAAATAAAGCAAATTTAGACCTCTTTTTTAGTAAACTTCGATCAGGGTTTCTCAACCTCAGCACTGTTGGCATTTTGAGAGGCTATTTTATGCATTGTGGGGTATTTAACGGCATCCCTAACCTTTACCTACTAAATGCCATTAACACCCCCACCGCCAACTGCAACAACCAAAAATGTTTCCAGTTATTGTCAAATGTCCCTTGAGTAGGAAGATACAAAATTGTTTCCAGTTGCAAACCACTGACTTGGAGACAAGACATAACCCTGGACATCGCTGATCTATGAGCATCACTTCCATTCCTAAAAAAAAAATATTAGCGTAGGAAAGGGTTAGCTCGACACACTGGAAGATGACCGAGGTAGTGAGTTAAAAGCCACATATATTTTAGGGAATAGTGTAGGCTGTAAAATGTCTTTTTCTTTTTTTTTTTAATTGTGATTTGGGTGAAGATTTACATAGCAAATTGACTTTCCATACAGCAGTTCACATATACTTTGTCTCATGTCATTGCCCATAGTTTACCACAATGCAACAGCTCCCCTCCCACTTCCTCCCCATAATTACCTCTTCCCAGTGTCCATCCCTCCAT